ATTTTTTTTACCTGCTATAGCAGGTTTCACAGGTTGCATTACGTAAAACACAATAGGCATTACGGAACAATTACGTAACGTATGTGTATCTTACGTAACAGTTGTAAAATCTCATTATGGAAGCCATACGTAATTGAGGGTTCTTTTACGTAATGAATATTTACCTCGCGTTACGTAAAGTAATAAGTCATTACGGAAGTCTTACGTAATGCTTCTAATTTAGCTGTTACGTAAGAAATAACTTTCATTACGAAAGCCTTACGTAATTGAGGCTTCTTTTACGTAATGGATATTAACCTTGCATTACGTAAAGTGTTAAGGCATTACGAAAGCCTTACGTAATAGATTTGTATTTTACGTAACAGTTGTAACATGTCATTACGGAAGCCTTACGTAACGCTTTTGATTTAACTGTTAGGTCATAAATAGCTGTCATTACGAAAGTCTTACATAATGGATGTGTATTTTACGTAACAGTTGTAAAATGTCAATAAGCCTCATATAATGAATTTTATTTTACATAACAGTTGTAAAATATTATTACGTATATTTTACGTAATGAAATTTTATTTTACGTAATGAATATTAACATCATAAATTATTTAAATAATTAGGAAAGTCTTACGCAATATTTTTTTTAATAAATCTCATCCAAAATTATGAAAAGATAAAATAAAAAAAGAATTTAAAATATATGCAAGGATAAGATCAAGCTGGAGCATTTTGGCAAAAAAGAAAAAAAATCAAGCTGGAGCAGCGAACTTAAAAATGAAAAGGAGCTGGCAAGTTAAAAAAGAAAAGAAATAAAAAAAGGTAATGGAAACGGGGAAAGTAATAACCGGCAGTGCCGGTGTTTCGGCTATTTCTTTTTAAATTTTTTTTTTCTTAATCAACGGCTTAGGATGAATTTAACTGATTTTAATGGTCTAGATCTATACAAGTTACCTAACTTGAAATTATACCCAAGTTATTGTAGGAGGTCCATATATATATATGATGATCCCACTCAATATGAGCAACCCAAAGGCTAAGAACACACATATGATGAGAATCACTAGGATGATGCAAATGGAAGTCCACCTATGGCGCCGTAGGAGACAACAACTGCGTTGAGAATGGACATTGTGATGAAAAATGGACCCAGGTAGAGAATTCTAGTGAGGAAGATAGTTTTACCCTGTAAAAGAAAAAATTATATGCACTGTCAAGAAAAGTACAAGTGTATCTAGAAGATGAAGATTGTGTTAAACTCTTACCCATCTTGTTGCTTCGAATTGACAATGGAAGGAAGTGGAAGTGTACCTCCAACAACGGGTGTAAGAGCATAAACCATGAAAGTCCTCGTTTGTAAGGATTGAGTGTACCAACAGAGGCCAAAAAATAGTCGGTATGCCCTGAAGATTTATCACAAAGATAGTACGAACTAGCTTTAGAATCACAATTACTCAATTTGAAGACAATGCAGTCAGTTATCTCATTCAAAGACGAGAAATTTTACTTGGCAAGCCGCTCACTTACATGGTTAACAGTTGAGCTCTCGTGGCTAAGAAGGCGCAAAACAACGACATGTTTTGTGGATGTATGAAAACATCACCATGAATATACTTCCATACAACCTCCTTATCTTCTCCTTCATCTTCACTAGCTAGAAGACCTGCAAAGGATAATGGAGATAGATAATCAAAACAATTATATGTAATGTGCTGACCTTAGAACTTAGAACATAATGTCATTGTTGCTGACCTTCTCATATCAGTCCTAAGGCGCCTAAAGAAGAATGCCACAAGCAATCCCATCAACAACATAAGGATAACAACTTAGTTGACATACGAGAACTAATGGATCTTCTTGTGTACGTGCAGAAAGTAGTGAAACCTCTGGTACATTTCTGAGTTTGCATTCCAGGAGACCGAATAATTAAACTCTGAAATCAAGTTCAGCAACATCATCTGTTATGTCCAAAGCATCATTCGGATCGCCGAAACCATTGATCTCTATAACTTGATCACCATTGTCATCACGCCAAAATTGACATATTTGAACAAGTAAAACTTCAACTTATTACCATCTTCAAGAATCCATAAGTGAACTTGTTACCACCTGATTATTGGAGCCCTAACTGGACTAGTTACCAAAGCAGCTAAAGCCACAGATTGTACTCCTTTACCCTTACCAGATATAATCTTTTGCTCATTATACAAAAGATCTTCATATGCTGCCTGCTACCACTATGGGAAGTGGTTTCATCATCAACAGGTGTGTTTTAACCACGTCATAGGCTGGCCAACTCCTCTTAAGAACCTTACTAGATAATCAGTCTCTTGTTTTGCCTTAAAAGCTTCAACAGCTGGACAAGACAGAAACTGTAATGGAGCACAATTGCATGAAACAATTGGGTTAAACTTGGTGCATTCTTCCCACTATCCTTTCATCATCGTGTAGGACTGTGTGATAGTCATAGTTCTTTGCTTACAAGAGTGAATTTCATCTTTCCGACTGGTCACTTTTATGGCATGAGCCTGACCTAAACGATCCTTAAGCTCTTCCAACAACAAAAACTGAGCTAGTTTATAAATCTGTACACTCCTTTTCATGTCTTTGTGTAAAGAGTTCATAATAAAAAACAATACCATAATATTACAAGCACCCCTAGTTATATACCCATTAGGATCGACACTAAGATTTGGGATTTCGACTAACCATCTATAAACCCAAGCTTGTACTTGGTCTTAAGAGCAATTCAAATGGATCTAGCCCACATTTGATAGTTATATACTACCATCCATAAATTCTGACACAATTGATTGAGAGAGATTCTCATTAGGATTATGCTAAAAAAGGGTTACCAAAGATGAACTCTGATGAAGTCAATCTGAAATATATATGCTCAATCCTCCACCAGAATTGTTGTTGGAGTTGACACCGGAAGCCGGCGTCGTGTGGTGATCGTCACCTGACATGTCTAAGACTCAGATCAAGGCTGTCGGAATGGCAGTGTGATGCTTTGATACCACAAGAAAGGAGACGAAGTTCAGATTTGGGGTGGATGAGAGCAGCAGAAAGTGTGCCTCATCTCTTTAGGGGTTTATTTATTTACTAGCTTATTACCCGGCCCGTTGGCCGGATTACTGTGTGTTACCCACTTGTGGAATGGGAGAGAAAGCAAGTGAGAGTGAAGGGATTGGGATTCCACTTGATTATGATCGACCCACTAATTCGATTCTTCCCGACCCGCCCCAACCTAAAGGGTTAGAAAGAGTCAATAAGAAAATACGAATGGGGAGGATTAGTCATATATCTTGACTCTTCAGAAGTGGGTCAAACAGGATCAAGGTTGGGCGAGGGCAATTTTTAGCGCTAAGCAGAGTTCTGGGTTGAATAACTTTACTTAGGCCTAGAAATTGGTGTTGATGCATACTGCAGTTTTTATTATACCATCATCAATCATTATTGAATTAGTCCTGGGCATCCCTCCCCGTTGGTCGGAATTTCATTTGAATACAACCATGCGTATTTTAAATTTTCAAATTTCTGAAATTTTAATTTTGTATGAGATTAAGGTAACATCTAAATTATTTTTCAATTTTTGAAATCATAATAAATTTTCATCATCAATTGAACATTGTACGTTTAATGATTATAACACTCGTGAGTAATCATTCATGAACTGTTTGTTTAATAATGCAGTCAGTTAGTTATCTATGATTAAAAGAAAACTAACATAATAAAAAGGGTTAATATAATATATTAGCTAAAACTATTATGAAGCGGAAAATTATAGCCACAACTATGACAATTCAAATTATGAGCCAAAACTATTCTTGCGGATCATGATATGGTAACTGTACGTTACTGTTATTGAATTTTTGACAGAGAAGACCACGTCATCGGCCCGACAACGACCATGTTATTTAATTTATAACTTTAAAACATAAAAGTTTAGTCAGTATTACTAACGAAATTATTAACAGATAGTTAATGTTTGGATAATAATTTGAATTTCCACAGTTGTGGCTATAATTCCCCACTTTATAATAGTTGTGGCTAATATATTGTATTTACCCTTAAAAAAATGAGTTTGTCTGACAAAGCACAATATGAATGATCGACAACTATTGGATGGCAGTATTGTGTAGATAATAAATCAATACACAAATTTCAGCACCCTGCTCATGTTATGGAACATTGAACACCTTTTGCCAAATGCAACTTCCCCATCAACACTCTATACCATATAGCAACGGAACTCGTTGGCCAATATAAGATCAGTTCGAACAAAATCTTGTCTGACACTGCGTCCTAAAGTAGTACCATGTTGGGAACCATCTTGAAGACTAAGATGACTTCAAACCTTCACAACAAAAACTTGGCATAGATGAGACATACTATCCACAAACCATATACCATTCTCTTCGTCATTCTTTATCTAGTTTAAGCTCCTCCTGATCCTGAATTTGTTTGTCACTCTACCTAATGGACTTAAGAAACCCGCAACTCAAATAAGATATGTCAAGTTAGGTAATCTAATCATGCATGCTGCATCAGGTCAAGTTGGTCACCTCTCACTTTTAACCTCTATATACTACAGAACTATCTGAAGTAAAAGTAACCTCTAGAGAATTATCACAAGTAATAGAACCTTATGAGATTGAAATTTTTTGCTCCATTTTATGAGGTCAAAGTAACATATCCTTGTCCGTGATAACCATTAGATGCTCAGCTACTTCATTCATACTTTCTCAATGAAAATTATCAAATTGAGCATTAGTTCTCGTCTAACTTGCCTATAGTTCCGAAAATTAAGTAGGGATAATCGTATGTTGCTAGGGTTCAACAAACATTCAGGTTCACCCCCACAGCTTATGTTAAATTGCTGTAACTAATGAGCAGTGAAACAAACCTAAGCAACCCATTGCTGCATAGCTTATTCCAATAGCACAGTCTCTATCTTAGTTGTTATGACCTTCAAATTCATCAGATTGAGAGCTTCAATTCACACCTTCTTCAAGATGTCGCTGGTGGCAGTGAAGGAATCGAGCTTGAACTCTGCCCTTCCCCAAGACACGCCAATTCACTGGAGATGGAGGAAATGAGTCATAGAACAGACCCTTAATCGACAATAACCTAAACAAAAGCCATGAATGAAGTTCACACCTATGCTTGTTCTGACACGCCAATTCACCCTTAATCGTCAATACTTAGCATTTTCGTTGCCAATCAAGTGTGAGAACATTGCAGCCATGAAACCAAAATAATGAACATATAACCATTCTACATCAAATTGCCCATAATGAGTGGCGAATGCCCCTGATTTCACAGACCCCATCTCCCCAAACAACATTATTCATACAGTCTAGCAAACAAAAGGCAATCGAAAACGTCAATGTTGGTAATGAATACTGATCTGAACGCTATTCAACGTTTAAGGCGACGGGGGCAAAATAAACAGCACCTCCAATCATCTACGCCAAGAACGCCTCCTCTCTCCTTCACTCTCCCTGCTCGTAGTAACGGTTGTTCTACCCTTGTCCCCTGTTTCCACCCAGAACAGCTACTTCGCTTCTCCCTCTCGTCGCCACCCATCCCTCTCCTTCTGTTTCGTTGTTCCCATCCTGCCCTGCAGAAACATAGATCTAACTCCAAAGATTCAAACGTTGCCGTATTGATTTGCCATCGCAACGGAGACCTATTTGTCCCTTGATAGATGCTTTAATCGTTTCCATGGCTACAAAATCATGACGATTTGTCCGCCGGCCGCATGAATGATTCCCTTCTTCTTCTTCCTCTTCCTCACGTCGCCTTTTCCTAGCGTTCCCCAACTCCCAGCCAGTTCTGTTGTGGTTCATAGCCCCTAGGCGCCTGTTCTTAGCTTTTCCCAACCCGTTCTTCATAGCTTCCTATTGGAGGTAAACTACAAAGAATTTCAGTTCTGGGGAACGCTAAGAAGATATATAGGACAGTTACCGGGCGAAAGACTCTTGCCATCTCCGGTGCAAGAAAGAATCCAAATGCAGTGAGCGAACCCAAACTGTGATGAGTGTTGGCGCGAAGCCTGAAGAAGACTGTAGGGTAGAGGGAACTGCACCGTGGCCAGTGAACTACATTTCACTTGTTGACATTTTCTAGGGTTTCGAAGCTCCGATGCCGCTCAAGGCGGAAGGTCGGTGCGGCAAGGCGGAGTCGACGAAGACTGAGATAATCGAAGGGGTTTCTTTCGACTGCTAGTAACGACAGATTTCTTCGTGGGCCCGTTCAAACGGGAGAAAGCTGTTTCCAAAATTGCCCCTCCGAGAAACGCTCCGGAGGCAGCAAATTTGAAATGGGGATTCAGTTTTCCCCTTCCGCGTATTATAATTAGAGTAGATAGATATAGGAGAGCAAATGACTAATGTATAGTACTTAACCTTTTTTCAAATCTAATTACCTTTGACACGTGGCTTAGTGGGATTCATTATTAAATAACTAATATGTGTTTAAACATATCAAATAACAAACTAATCAAAACGACGTTGCTTGTAGAAATGTTAGCCTAATTCCAAACTTCTTTTTATTTCCATTTGAGTCCATCGTTCTTGTGTTGTTGACTTGAACCAACCCTTGTTTGAATAGGATTACTGTGCACCACTACAATTGCTGCAGTTCTATCGATTCCTTGATGTTCTTCCAATACTAATGTTTCACCACCCAAACATTCTAGATCATTAACGCATAAATGATTATGGATTTTGATGACTGGTCTTTGGTTAAATATGATGGGTAAGTTGTGACCCCATTTTGAATGGAGGTCCAGAATCAAGAGTTTCGCTTTATGGGGGTGAGGTTCTCGCGCTTCACTTCCGGAAAGGTAATTAAGCCAACTTAATTTGCAATTCTTCCTACTTCTTCTTATCCCTATTGCAATTCAACTTTACTGCTAAACCAATGGCAACCGATTGGGTAATTATATGTTAAATTAGTTTATGTTACCACTTACCCACACGTTTAGCGAGGGAATTCTAGCGGCCATCACCATGTTTGGAAATGAAATGGAGGCAAGGTTAAAAAAGGCGCTAGGCGTAAGCCGGGCGTTGAGCCTTTGACTAGCGCCTAGCTTGCTTAGGCGTAGACTAAGCGTATCTAGGCGTTGGAAGAAAATAGCTATTCGCACTGCATGACGAATGGAATAATAATCTACAACACTTCGTCACTTCAACTTAAATGATTAATAACTTACTCAACACTTAATGACAAGAACATAGCTCACGAATTCATAGATTTATAGATTAATAGCTCACAAAGTTCTTGAGCTATTGAAAATATTGATATAGAAAATTGATTTAGTAGTTGATGTTAATTTTCTCATTTAATATTGACTTCCTAGCTCCATCTATAAATGTTTAGGAGAGACTTAGATGTCGCCTTACTCCATTGAAGTGTTCCAGCATCTAATTAGGCACTAAACCTCTAGGCAAGGCGTTTTTCCATTGCCTTGCGCCTAGGTGTGCCTAAGCATAAGTTTAAGCGTGCCTTTTTGAACCATGAATGGAGGAGGAGGACGTTTTCTTCATTGGCCCATGGCCTTTTCAAAGCTACCTTGCCTCTTCTTGGCTTGACCACTACTGCTACTCATATCGTGGAAGTAAGACACAAAAAATGGAATTTTTAACTTTGTAGTTTAGTTCTTAAGCAAATGTATTAATGGCCAATGGGGTAAAGATAGCAGCTACTTGGGGGAAGGAGAGATGAAACAATCAATATGGGAGTGTTCTTTTCTATGGTAGATGTGTGGAAGACTAAATTTTTAATCTGAAAGATTTTGGTATGTGTGATGTGGTCTACCGACCCTTTATATTAGCAGTATGAGTTTAAACATGTTTGACTGGGCCAAAAACTTTGTAAGCAACGAGTCCAACAAGGGCCCACCCGATTTTTGGTCTTCCCCTGCGCAAGGCTCTCCCTGTTTCCAGCTTTGGACATGGGTGAAAACTGCTCGTACAAATTATTCAATTGGGCTCGCACGGGACTGTTGGGATGAATAGCTTTAAAAAGCTATAAATGAAATTTCTAATTAATTATCCAGTATTTTTCCATAATACAAATTAAGATGGATAATTAATAAAAGGTAGGGATGGCAAAAATATCCATTACCGTGGATATCCGCCCGAATCCGTCCTAATCGGGTAGGATAAAACCCGAACCCGAGGGACATTTAGTGGGTACGGGTAAAATCCGAACCCGAATATTGCGGGTAATGGGTGGGCATGGGTTTCTCACTATCCAACCCGAACCCGCCCGATTATACACATGTTTATGTATTTTTTCTAGAAATAATCATTATTTTTCTCTAACATTTTTATATTTAGCATATAAATATAATATTTTCATGAAATTGTGTAATTTTAATTAATTTTCTTCATTCTAGTGAATAATTGTCGTACTTTTCCTCTTACGTAATGTCAGAATACGTGTGAATGTTAACATATTTGTTGGAGTTATGAAGAGAAATTATTACCCATGGATAACCGTGGATACCCGAAACCCGAACGGGTATGGGCATGGTTATGATTTTCTACCCGTTTCACATGTGGGTATGTGTATGGGTAAAACCCGAACTACTATGGGTAGGGTAACGGATATGAACTATCCGCGCCCGACCCGACCGATTGCCATCCCTATTAAAAGGAATATTATGGAGATAATTAGGAATAATTATCTTAATAGATTATATTTTAATTATGGGAGTAATTATCTCCTAATTAAAATTACTTATTCCCAAAGAAAGAGGGAATATTCTGGGTTTTCTGCTTCTATAAATAGGAGACGTCCCAGACCCTCTAAACACACCTCAGAGAGCAGAAACACGAGAGAGAGTGAATTCATAGAGCTCCGGTTTTTCGCACAAAACCGATGAGCAACAAATCAGAATGGTTGTTTTATCCTGGAGGCGACCGGCTGATAGTCTGCTGTGCGCAATACGAGGCAGTGCCGCGAACGTCTTAAAGAGAGCGACCTAGTCCGCGACTCAGCCAGACCGGTAACCCTAATTTTTCTGTTCGGTTTCTAACAGGGACCACGAATTCCAGATGGAGGATCAATGAGCTGCGGCAGGAGAAGACTGATCTTTCACACTTTGCCGGTTGACTGGGATGAGATGTCGAGATTCGAGGCTGAATTATCAATAGCTTGGGCTTCTAAAGATAGATTCTGGAAACAACGCTCTAGGGTTCGTTGGTTGACAGTTCGGGATAAGAACTCGGCATATTTTCATACGGGGGAATGGGTGACTTCTGAGGCTGGGAAATAGAATATTGCGGTGGAACATTATCAGCAATTATTCACTTCGGATGAGATGGTTTGGGATATGAACAACGAGTGCGAGATGCTGTTGCTGAACTTCCTTTTAGAAGGTTGGTGTTAACACCTAAAATTAATTTGGCCGGAATTAAATGCCGCATTAATTACTCTCGGCATTTAAGTCGATACCGTGGGTAAAAAATGGTTTCGTTGGGAGTCGAGCAGTGTCGCGGAGGACTAAAACGGTACCGCAAGGAATCTCAACGGTATCGCAACGCTGGAAACGACACCGCTTGCCGAAAATAAAAAATAAAAAAAAAGAGAGAAGAGGGCCGTGTGTTTAATGGGGTTGGAGGAGGAGTTTTAATTGTTTAATTATTATTTTTTATTCCTTGTGAGAAGCGGCACCGCGGGGAGTTAAAACGGTACCGCGAAACAGAAAATCGATGCCGCGAGGAAGCTCGGCGGTACCGCGGAACTGGAGAGGGGCCGCGCAGTGTAGGTGTTGGGGAAGGAGTTTTGTTTATAATTAATTAATATTTTTATTCCTTGTTGGAGGGGGGCAAAATCAAATCTCAAACTGCACCGTCGCTGATTTATCTTTTCTCTCTAGTTTCGTAGAACCGCTCTGTCAAAGAACTCCTTTGCAGAGTCGTAGATTGTAGCATGTAGTCGTAGTTGCGGAGCTCTCCAGAGGAACCTCCATAGGAGTAGAGGTAACATAACTTAGAACACTCCTGGTTCGATTTTCTGGTTATTCGCCGAACACCCTCGTTCGAACGTAGTTTGGAGAGGTGGTGAACCGTATAACGGTTGTTTGATTAGAAGTCAAAGGTGTATCGATCAAATCAATATCGCCGACGCCGGCGGTGGATATTTGACGGTCGTCTTGGTTTCTGTTTTAATTGATTAAATCAACGGCGCCGACTTCGGCGACGGATATTTGACGGTTGTGTTGACCTTGTGTTTGTGTTTTACTTGAAAACAGTGCGCATTGAACACGCGAGTTTCGCCAACGAAACAAATTGGCACACCCGGTGGGACACGTGTGTTCGAATGGCTCCGCGACGGAGGAATCACGAGGGCGAGCTTCCACCAACTTCAGTGGAGGAAGAGCCAATGGTCAATGTAGAGACTGACCAGAGTGGCGGTTCAAACGGCGGTTCGGGCAATGACGCCGGAGGGGAAGTGCCAGTAGTGGCGCAAACTGCCGACCAGGGTGAGATAACGCGCATGCTTCGCCAAGTCATGGCTGATAACCAACAGGTAAAACTTCACTTAGCCTCTTTGGATGGACATCTTGATGGTCTTAGCTCTCGGATTGATAGACGTGTTAGCCAACTGGTTGAAGTCGTAGATAAAAACAGAATGGATTTTGAAAGTAACAAACGTGATTTCAATGATTTTAGAGAGTTTTTGAATAGGCCAGTGCCGCAAACAAGGGCTTTGCCGTTAAGCAGCGAGAATCCGCTGCACAACGATACTGGCACCAATAACTTTCCGGTTAATGGTGGCCGAGATACTCAGTCGAGACAGGGCATTTCGCCGACACCGGTGTTGAACCCAACAAGTCCATCGAGAGTAAATCTTGGCGAGACCAGTACTGCGGCTAACACTCGTGTTGAGCCGCCACCAGTGCACAATGTGAGTCCACAAAATATCCCGGAGGCCAGGCCCTACGTGGCTCCGATGAGCGGTGCTGGTGGTGGAGGAACGATCAACAATGATCATGTTCCGCCACGCGGTTACCCGAAAAACATGCCTCCTCCTCCAAACGGGCTTGGCATGGATCCTGGGGGATTCGTACCACAAGGGGGGCAACTCGGGGGCAAGACATTAATGTGATTCGAGATCAAGTAGCACAGATGCTGGCAGATCAGTTTGGTTTAGGGATTAGACCAGCGATGCCGCCGGTATATCGAAAACCATATCCGGATTGGGT